TTTCACTTCACATTCACTCCAGCTACGGATCAGAAAAAATACCTCATTCTTTTAGCTATGATTTCAGCACAAAATCACTCCAACATTTCTTTGGCGTGTGGCGACTACTTGCATCGAGATGCTCCTACCAACTCCGGTCGGCTGTCCTCCGACCCCTTCGCCACATTGGCAAAATTATTAGACAACAACGTTCTTCCAACTTTCCGCTGCAACCATGATTCGTACTCTCCGTCGATGTTTTTCGTATCTCCAGTATCCATATTTTTTTCACTCCCCATCGGCCTCATGACAATTACATGTGCACCCACGGAATATGATTTCCAAGACGATTCGCCCCAATGTTTTCAGCTTTTATTTCACTTCGCATACAATTTGACATGATCTCACTTCCATACTCGTTGTGATTTAAAACATTTCATTCCGAAGACCCCCTACCACGGGTCACCTCCCCACAGTTCCCAAGACGAACAATCGACACGGCATTTTCTTCTGAAGAGTAACATTGCGTTACATGCGATAATTCGACGGCGTTCATAGACCGATCATGATGCTCTCAAAGTGCTTTCACTACAAGCCCTGTCATGATGTTTCGGTGACTGCACAACAACTATTTCACAACTCCCACCCCGCCCTCCTCGCAGTGGTCACTCTATCTTTCACTAACAACCCTACATTTTCACTTTGAACATGATCCTCTACTGTTTCGATATTCACTAATTTACATCTGGAAACGATTTCACTACCGGCATTTACCACAGCGTTTCGGTGTTCTCTCAGCAAGGCGACCGTCATGCTCACAATACTCTGGTCGGTGTGGTCACACTACACTACAATGTTTTCACTCATATTTCTTTGAGCATGATTCACTAATGAATTCGACTCATAGTCCAGTGCGATTGCATGGCTTTATTATTCGGTTTTGTGCTGGCACCCTTCGCCACTGCAGCATCGGCTTGTATTAATTCTATTCCATTCCATTCATTTCATTTCATTGTGACTCGATAAGTTCGTAGCGCGGACTGACCTTCTTGAGGCGAAGTTTATGGTGGAGGTCTGCCTCAGTGAGGCTCAGCAGCTGGACACCATCGATGTAGTGTTTGTCGAAATCATCCTGTCATTTGCAGAAACAATGCAATAAACGGAGCGTTCCTGGGGTGCTCGAACCAACCGTCCATAACAGCCCCTCACCTCAACAAACTGCACAAGTTTATTACAGGAACACATGAAAGGACGCTAGTTCTTCGCACCCGCGATCCATGCATTTGATGTGCACCTAGACTTATGCTTCGGCGGGGTCGGCAGCGTCCAGTCTTCTTTGAGACACCAAGGCAGCTGTCAAGGAACCACTCCACGACGGTCCCAAGAAGCGAAATACGGGAGACCATCCGTCGTTGCATCATGCGAGAAATATTCGTAGGCCTTTGTGAGCATATCTATCATAAGTTAGCCACGTTCTTCGGACAACCCACCCCCACCGGTTTCTATTTGTCAACAACCCGTTCTACCCGTAAGAAATTCATTCACACTCTTCCTTGCGCGGGTATTGCTTCTTCTACAATAATAGGGTGAATTCTGGCACTGATTGAAACATTCGGGCGACACCAACCAAGGTCCAGCTCGTTGCTATCTACCCTGCAGACTGCGCCAGAGGCACAATATAACACTTCTAAGTATGGGTGTACGGCACGTAAAACGAGAAAAAGGAAGCAGCCGGGGAAGGCATATCGTTGGGTGTTTCCGCCAAACAGGCCCACCCGGCCTGGAGATATGTGAACTTAATGCTTGAATTGTCGAGCGATTGCACACAACAATTACAAAACATGCTTTTCGTATCTTGCAACAGTAAGCTGGCTCAAGGACCCTGCCCTGTGTTTGGCGTACTTGGATGCGAGTTTTGATCTGGGAAATACGCGTAGGGGGTGCTGGTGGGGGTCCAAGTGCGGGGAAAGAGAGGACGCAGATGTGTTTACCCTTTGTCTCAGTGTTTGTGTGAACGTCGTGCTCTTTTTGTCTTTGTGTGCTGGAATCAAGGTTTATGTCATCAACATCCTGGTCCTCAGATACAACCCCCAATCTCCACGGGAAGACGCGGAGGGCTTCTGACACCCTGGACGGCTCCTCCACCCGCCTCTACTTATGCGGCGAGGTCACCATCGTGTCAACCACCAACCCCAGATTTATTTTCAGGGGGCAGGCAGCAACGGCAGGTGCCACGGGAACGACCCCTATGGTAGAAGATTGTCCAGGCTTGCATCTACGAAATCCAAGACGATAAGAGCCAAAGAAGAAAGGACGTGTTGACTCGAGAAACCGGCCAGGTCAATCCCATTCAGGGGCAAACATGCTCCAGGCGGCGAGAAAAAAAATCAGTATAGAACAAGGACTGGAATTTTCCGGATGAGAACAAGGACCGGAATTTTCCGAAGTGTTGCTTCCCATACCGTTTTTCACTGTTTGCGACAGCAGCAGCAACGATAATCTTATTCTTGCGATTTCAGCTCACCTGGTACTGACCGAAGTTATTGGTAGCCAGCCACCGAGAGACTTCTTCGCACCCCCACTGCAGGATGTACCGTGCAGACTTATGCAGGTGAAGGCCTGAACCAATTATTTCCGTGATTTACAATAGTTCGTCGGGAGGGATTCAGAAACCTATCGCTCCCAAGTTCGAAAACCCATATGAAAGTCAGCAGCATGAATCAACCCGCCTCAAAATTACATCCACTCGTGCGCTGGCATATTTCACCGTGATACGCCAACACATGTATGACCGGAAAACTGCACGAAGAGGAAGAGACTCTGTGAAGCACGTACTATGCAGAGGGCATCGGCATCGTATTCTCCATTATCCACCAGCCGGGATGATGATTGGGCGAAAATTTGCGAATACTGCCTGAAACCCCTGGCACGTGTAGGCGTATGTAGCAGGCTCATCCAGCACTTACTTCAGAGGTTTAAATTCTAAGGCTGGGCGGCTTCGACTCGATCTACAGCCGCTTTTCAGCGGTGAAACAATTCGTGGAAACTTGGCCGTACAAAGTTGAGAGAACTACCGTCGCATCCAAACAAAAGCTGCATGTTGCTGTTGTTGCTGTTGTTGCTGCTGTTGTTGTTGTTGTTGTTGTTGTTGTTTCTGTATTCCAGTTGGAACACGTTTATTCTTCATGGGGTGAGGGAAGACATCCGGTCGATCGAAAGGAAAACTGCAGCCGGAATGACTCCACCTAGGTTGGTTGGTTGTGGAAGTAGAAGTTAACGCGACACACCTTCTTCCCACGCTGCCTTGAAGGCGATGACAAGGACCGACATGTTATCCATGCTCTGCTTTGCGAGACACACATCCTGCAGGCAGGTAGACGAAAAGGAGGAAAAAGAACACCATTGTTTGTCACGCCATCACCACACGCGCAGACGTTACCATGGAATCAATAGCACGAACAGCCTTCAGGACCTTTATTGTTGATTTCTGAAATTCGTACGGTGGCCACAGGACTACATAGTTCCATCTGTATTAGCGGTGGGTATTTGCAGTTGTTCTTATAGACAACGTCATCACGTTGCGCTCTTTTTCCCGGGAACTCGGCATCGAACACCGCTCTTCCGGTGCAACAATATGCCTCTGCCTAAAGCACTCTAGCATACGCGTTCGAACCAAATCCTGGCCTACGGATCCGTGGTATGGACGGTCGTTTGGGCCAGGCTTGAGGAACGATTTTTTCCACCCACGTACCTCCATGTCTTCGAGGATTCTCCCGAGGTCCCTGTTCCCTTCCTGTATAGACTTTCGCAAGAAAAAGCACGCTTCGTCGTTGCCCATCACGTCCCACACCCCGTCGCATGCCATGACAACGAACTCGTCTGCAAGTGGGCCAGTCAGTCCGGTGAGACGACGAACATAAAGACCGACGACAACCACGAATGGGAAACGTGGGTAACCAGCTTCACCCCACCAACTACATGTACACAGACTAGTCAATGAATGCTGAAGCTTCGCTTGGCTCTGATCGGACGAGAAAATGCATACCCTCGGTGGGAGCATACACACCAATCACCACGTTCACTTGTACACACTTTTATTGATTGCAACCTTTGGATCGGAACAGAAAGGGCACACCCTCCATGAAACACACACAATTTCCCATCATCACCTTCATCGCTACGCTTTATCACCGTAACCTCTGGGTCGCACACCACCATCTGTCTCTCCAATGGAAGGTTCGGGTCCGACTTGAAAGGATGGTCGCCGATGCACCTGCGTTTAGGTCGTTCGGTCAGTGGCACGCAAGCAATCGAGTGGGCCCCTTATTCTCTGTATATTCCTCTCTTCCTGGAGCAGCACATAATTGTCGCAAATGAACGACTCTACATAAGGAGTGGTTCCTCATCTATTGTTTCGAATGCAAGAAAATATCTTAGCGCCGGACGTCTGCCTTGTAGGCCCGGGGGGTTCTCAATCCCCAGACTCTCCTCACCATCCGCCTTTCCTCACCTAGACACGGCCAGCTTCCCCTCAACGCGGTTGTGTTCCACTTTCCCCCCCGCAGCCTCGATCCTAAGTTGCCATGTGGCAGCATGGGGTGCGGTAGAAGCAGCAGACCCGCATCAAAGGCGGTAAAGATGGGCCAAGTTTGATAATATGCTCTCGGTAGAAAGGGGGAGGGCTCCTCCTTCTCATGAATGGTGGGATAGCATATTTGCATGTAATCTTTCGTTTTCCTGCCCCATATTGGAGGGGGAGGGAGGGGCGGGGGCATCATAGTTACAACTTGATTTCGGCAAGGGGGTGGCGCTTTCTGCAGGTTGACTTAGTGATGCCTTGTGGTGCCCTCCATTGGACTGGTGAAATCGCGTCATAGGTTGCACAACCAGGTTGTTCGGCACTCCAAACGGCGGAGGACGGTGCCCTCTATGGTGTCGGTGAAGTTGGCAGGACTAATGAGAGGGGGAGCACGTTGCCGTGAGATATGCCTCTACAGTTACTTATCGTTGGAGGACTCCTTATCGAGACGACCATCACAAGAGACAGGCTCTTCGGATCAGCCAGTGTTGCTGATACACTGTACCAGTCCCAATGTAAGGCCGCATCTTGCCAAAGGACTCGGCCGGCCTTATTCCGGGCACCCGGCGCTATTCAGAGAATACGAGAGTTCGGTATTCCGTCTGTGTCACGGGATGTCACCGGCCTTTGACCAACGCGAATGGCGTTGATTGTTCGGCCTTTCCCAGGGGCCACTACCACTGTAAACCGGCTTCATTTTGATTCGTGCATTGACGTGGTCTGAGAAATGCCGTATGTTCAGTATGTTGGTGGTACAAGGTTCCGGAAGTATCGTCTGTGGTCTTCTCCTCCACCTTCGAAAACATAATTCCCCCCGGGGCCTTACTAATGCGGCCTCATACAAAGAGATCATTTCAGTATTGAGGGGGCCATGGCGTCACCTTTGTCGCTCGGCCCTGTTGTCTGGCTTATGGTCAACGGAGAGCTGCCTCGATGCTCCCTCGGAGGCCAAAACCGCCCTGTTGCGAAACGCCGTTTTCACCATGAATGCATCGTCAAAAAAGTTGTTGTAGTCGATTCCTTGGAGCCGGGAAGCGCTGGCAACACTCGCTGCCGAAGATAGTCTTAGCAACGCTAGCGTTACTAGGGCTGCTGTCCACTTCTCTGAAACATGTTCTTAAAGCGGATGCTGTTGGATACGGCATGGTGACCTTGAGGTACTCTATGGGGCCGCACGACCCGCCCGCCCTTCACCTTGGAGAGTCCAGATATCACGATTGTTGGTATCGGGAGGTAAAAAAAAAAGCCCGCACGCGGTGACAGTAGAACATGACAAACGTGTGAACACTTTCGAAGGTCAACATGCGGAGTTGGCGACGCAGAGTTTACGCCGAGATGTACGAGCTGCACCGTCTGCAACCATCAGGTTGTACTACACAGGTAGACTACGGGCGCAGGCGCTCACGGGAAAAACAACTAATGTATAATGACCTGGTCGGTAACCACGACCGAATATTTTTCCTTAAACCCTCGGAGGTCTTTGTCACACGGGCGGTTCCAAAACGGGTTTGGGCCAACCAACATCATCGAAGCCTCGGTCTAGGCCCTGATTTCACCCATAGGCACGACAGGGAGCTATCATCAAGTATGACAACTGTTGCCGAAAAACACGCGTGTGTACCTTGAGTCGCCGGTGTTGCAGCAGATGATGAAGGCGTCGGACACGACGACGATCAACGAGGTCGTCGTCCCGCAAGTAGAAAACCTCGTAGGCCCCCCGTCCGCATCGTCCGTGGCGTTACCGCTACCGTCGCCCCACCCGCCGGCAAAGCCAGCGTTGGTCTCGCCGCCGTTTTCTTTCCTCGCCCCCGCGTCGCCGTCTCGCGCCGGTGATTTGTTCGCTTGCGTTGATGGCTTTCGTTTGGCCTTCTCAAGCCGCCTCTCTTCCCTGGCAGCAGCGTCGGCACAGGGTTGTGGTGCGGGCAGGGGTTTGATTGGGGTTGGGCTCCGGGTTCTGGCACATGTCTGCGGGAGGTGCCGCAGCGACTATACAGAATGGAATCGAGCTCGAGCGCACGAACACCCCACTCCAACCTTTCTCCCCCGTTGGCTAGTGAGCATTTTTTGGTTGCGTGGTTACGACTGTCTGGGGTGGAAAATCCTTCTGGCCCCTGTCTACTGTCGTCTTCCAAACTCGTCAAGGCAAACAAACAGGTTCCCGTGGCCAAGAGCTCACCCGAAAGCAAGACAGAAACAAAGTAACGTCCCAAGAGTTTGAAGGCGGCAAGCAAAGCCACAAACGAAGTCCTTCAAATGAGGAAGAAAAAGCACCATTCTACCTGGACGGTCGCAATCGGACGCAAACCGACGAGTGACGAAGAGACAATATAGATTTCTCGCTCACATGGACATGGGTCGCGCTTGATCAGCACCTTCGCCGAAGCCACCGCTTGAAGAGGACGTTCTTGTCGGCTGTTGTTTAGGCGAAGGATCGAGGGGATCATCCACCCTTGGAGCCACGTATCTCCCAGCCGGAGTAAAGAAAGTACCTTTGACCTGAAAAAATCAAAGGGTATCGTGAATTGTTAATATGGTTCATGCTCTCGGGCGTGGAAGAGAGCACCCGCCGTATCAACGACGCCACTCTATTTTGACATCGTCTTCCGGTCGCCCCCACCCAGTTGCACGAGCGAGCCACCGTTATGATAGTGCGATCGGACATTTTCCCGACCAATCTGTCGTTCTGTACGGTGATCTTCGCGGAAGATCCCGGCAGCGTGGCGAACTCGATCGTTGCAAGGCATGGGAGCTCTAACTCCTCGACGTACCCAAGGCACTGACACCACTTCGCTGCTTCTTGCCTCCGTGGGGAAACCAGCGGGGTCTATCCAGGTACAGTAATATTCGGTTCGGAGTGTAATGATCCGAGGAGGTTAAATCCTCACGTCGTGGGCCACCGAGATAAGGCCCGTGCACGTGCCGTATGTCGCCTGAAGTCGTTCACGGTTAACTAGAAGTTGAGCACCATGTCGGTGAGGCCCAGAAAAAAAAAACGCCATGATGATTACCCCCCCTTGCTATTGCGCCGGCAGGAGTGCACAGACATCTCGACGCCGTCGCATTATATATACAGTCACCTCTGCGTCCACCTCACGGCACGCGTCTCGGACACAACCCGCCGCCATATACGGCGCGGCCGTGGCTGTGCCCCCGTCACTGCCCCTTTCCCCATCACCGAAGGTTCTGCCGCCGCCCCCGCCACCAGGGTGCTCATTGATGCCCTCTTTCCCTGCGCCGTTGGCGGGTACTCGTGCTTGCGCCGATTGCGCTATTGTTGCTGCTTCTGTCGTTGTTGCCGATGTCGTTGCGAGGGCTTGGGCCTCTCGAATGCGTTGTACGATTCGATCGGCGAGGTACGTTCTGCAATATTCGGCCACGGAATCGCCCCCGTGTCCGTCGAAAAGACAGAATATGTGTCGAACTCCGAGAGGACACCCCTGCGTTTCGTGTGAGAGGTGGTGGATGTTAGGGGGTTGTTGTCTTCGACATCGATCCATATTCAATTATTTGTAGCAGGTGAATAAAAACCACTTACAGTCGACCCACGTACTGTAGTGCGAGTCACCCTTTGGTTAACTGAGAAGCACGCAGTTGTCGAGAAGCAGAACACGTTCTACAATCGAAGGAGGAGCCGTTCTACATTCTACCCTGGTACCAGACGTACTTCTAGTTGATCGACCTTGCTATGGGGGTTAGTCTGGGGAGCTTTAGGATTGCTCTCGAAAAAGAACCGTTCTCACGTCATCGCACGGTAGACTAGCACCACAGCAACAGTATCCACACCTAAGCGCTCAGACACCATGTACATGCACGCCCTCTGCATCCGGACGAATCTTGTTCCCACCACTGCGTGTGGCGTCAATGTTGTGCAAATAACATAACGAAAGGTCTATCCATAGAAGAATACGCGTTGCGGCCGGGAAAGTACTTGTACGGTGCAATCAAGTGAATACGAACCTCCAAGTCCATCCTGGCGCACAGCCTGTCCTCCATGGAGCACCTGCGGAACAAACCGTGTCGAGCGCGCCAATAAAAGCAAGGTGATGGTGGTGCTTAGCCATATAATTGCAGCTCCTGCGTATCTAGCGAGAGTAGACAATAGCTTCCATGCCCTCACCACACAGATTTTTTGGTATCCCGGGAAAGTCAAGGGTATTTGTATGCCGCGAGAACGCTGAATATCCCCTTCCACCTGTTCTCATGTTTTCCTATTGCAACCCAAACTGATCATGCGCACCTCCACCCCTGCATTGAGCACGCCGCCGCCGCAATGCCATCGCTGCATTCATCGCCTGGAATGATCCAGATGGTATCTTTGTCCTTGCGATCGCCTAGTCCTTGCTGTGCCTGAACGTTTGCGCCACAAATTATTCCGTTGACCTTGTTTTCATGAACTATCTTCCTCGTCCAAAGACTGGAGAATCTGGTGGCCGGTGAATCAACATATTCTACATAAATTGTAGGCTTCCTGGATTGTGCGGGTAGATTGTGCCAAAAAAGGGGTTACATGTTGTTGTGCTTGTCGTGTGTTTTCTTTCATGCACACATTCACGCACCCGCAGCAAAGGAGCGACTTCAAGATTGTGTACCGCTGTAGACGAACTGCGAAAGAAGTCTACCCCTGTCTGGACAAGGCACTCGGATATGGCCGTGGGGCTGACGCAGAACATTTGTCGCAGACTTTGGGGACTGCTGTTGTCTCCCCAGGTGTAGTTATGGATATCCTGCTGTTGTCTCCCCAAGTGTATTTTATGGATATCAACTTTATGTGCACTGTCCAGATCCAAGGATCCACAAAATAGGTGTACCTTGAGAGCGCGGGCGTCGCGCTCGAAGCGAACGGTGTCCTTTTCGGTCACAGGGGCCTCCAGCGCGTTACCCATCCCACGTAATTGAAGCCAACAAACTACTGGATTGCGCCAGGTCCCGGAAGGCGTGTTTTCGTGTTTTCATGTCGTTTCGGGTGTTCAATGCGGCGCAACGATCGTGATCGACGAGTTACGCCGCCGGCCGACGTCACCTGTCGCGTGTGCTCCTCGTTTGCTCGTGTGCTTGTTGTGCTCAACAGCTCACGCTCAATGGCTCCCGACCCCGGGTTCGCTTGCCTACGTACGGAATGGATTGTTCCCTCTTGCTGTAGAGCAACAATTTTGTTGATGTCACACGAAATCTTGTTTGTCACAGGCAGGCCTGTTTTCACAGGCGGCATTCCGACTTCGCAGCAAAATCGAGCACGAAGAACGTTCTCTATCGAAATGGCCCGTTCTGCAGCACGTTCCATGTTCCGCGATGCCCCGGAACTGCCATCAAAGAGATGCCAGCGTACGCTTAGGAGGAGGCTCTGAACGGCCGGATGGAGGCGGGCGCGGAGCACAAAGGAAACAGGGGGACGGTGGCCGTTGGGGGGAGATCTCGTGCCTCAAACGCCAATGTGAGCCTCACAACATTTCTTGATACAGCAGTGGAGTGTGTGCAATTGCTCATCCCCTGGAGGGGCACCACATCGATCTTATCTCCTTGTCTCACCTAGACTATTCATCATGCGCGCAGCAGCTGTGCAACGATGCTCGCGGGAAGTCATGTAGTTCATTATCAAAGCCCCTTTAAGAAACATCATGAAAAGATAATGCTGGCCGAGTCAGCAGCGCCTCTCTCTGTTCATAACAATCAAGACCCATAGGCGACTAACCAAGATTTAGATGAGCAACAGACATACGTCCGAATCAAACACTCACATACACAAAGGTCGGGTAGTTGAAATGCCGTGCCCGCTGCTCGGATAAATAGATGCGGAAAGGGAGAAAATACACGCGGAAGGCAGCCCCGTGCACATATGTCTCGCGAGAAACGTCTTTTTGTGCCGCCGCTCGCACCTCGACAGCCTGAGTAATACTGCTGTGTGCGGCACACGCCGTTCTTACACACCTACTGTCAGATTCAGGGACCATGATACGCACATGACGGGGGCCAACTGATACAAAACGTGTCAGTTTGGTGCAGTGTGGGAAACAGGAAATTGTTTATTTTTGTGCATTGGTGTATGCATCGTATTCTAAGACATGACAGAAGTACAGTAGTCGCTCTACACAGACAACCCTTGAGGGAAAGACTATCCAGAAGACCGAATGACACAGCCGTATCATCTTTCTTTGTTGAGTCTATCAAACCGTCTTACCTCATCACCACGGACTACACGCTGAAGATCTGATGGGTTCTTATCGCAAGACTCGTTGAAGAGGCCTGGTGTTAGCTATTCAACGCCGCCTCGACATTCATTCGAGGTCAGTTATTTTGTACTCAGGAAATATTCAGTGATGTAAGTACACCCGGGCTCGACCGTGTAGCCGACCGGTTTACCCGAAAATCAGCATTTGATTTTTTTTTTTTTCTCCCATCATTGGACTCTGTTGTCTGCCCCTCTGGCCCCCATCCTCCACTTCTACTAGCTAGACGACCCAACCGGGGTCCCATAGGAGGGGGGGGTTGGACCCCCTCCTGCGGTTCCTGCCTGATATATTTGTATCGCGAGAAATCCCTTCCCTCGCGACTTATGAAGTCGATCTAATTTACTAACAACGTGCAGCGTGTCGCTCCCAACTTGATGTACCCACCGGTGATAATAACGACCAACCGGGGTAAAAACGTCCCATCCCCGGGGTGTTAAACAACATTTTTGCGATCTTATTTATTGTTTGAAGCCAACCTCGAGGCATGCTTTACTGTGCTGTAATGCCGTACATGGGTGTGTACCTTTTGCGGGTCACTGCTGCTGCTGTGGTCTATCTCTTCTGTTCTCCCACGTTGCAATGTTGTAATGCGAGAAAGTCGTACAGTTTAGGTGTCTTCTTACAGCTCTGCAGATGACCAAAACAAAAAGTAGTGATTCGTTGAAAAATGAGGCCTGGGCGTGTTGGCGGCCACACTTGTGGGCCTTGAGAAAGGGGGTCCCGCATACGAGGGGGGCCCGTAGGAAAGAAAATAACCCGGAAATTTCGTGTTACCCACCCGCAGACCCTGTGACCGGTTTAATCGGTATCAGGTTTCTTACAAACAAAGAAAACACTAGCCATTCGAGATACTGTGATAATATCACGTGGAGGGGATGTGTGGACGCCTTTTTCATCCGCCAGGGAATCAAAGTACCCCGTGGGGAAGCTTTTCACATGTACACAGCAGTGTCATGTACGGAGGGAAACGTCCTAGCAGCTAGCAGTACGTCTTGATCCTGCTCTTCAGTCAAGACAAATTTCGCAAAGTTCCAGCCGAGTTGGGGTTCAATCAAATTCTTTCGTCGAATACAAAAACAATAAAAACACCGCGTGAGACTCTGCGCGTGTTGCTACGAAGCCATTCACTACTGCTGCTGTGTACTGATGGACGGTGCCTCTCGCGATTCCCTGATCTTCTCCCGACGTGAAAGCAACTTACATATATTTTGGGGGATACACAGGCTTGAGACTCAATAATGCATTCAAAGATAGCGAAGCACCCGATCCATGCATTACTGGGAGTTAAGGACTTCAGGCTCGACAAAAGATAAAAATATCAGTCAAGAACTTGGCCAAAAGAACAGGTGCTCCGATAAGAAGCCAACACGAACACCTACTAGATATATATAGCCGTACCCCATAGAGAACATAAGAAACAAGTCTCGGACAAATATAAGGGTTTCTCAAGTGCGTCGTACTTACAGCGGGTACGTCTCATGCCCCACTCACATCGACAAACGGCACCCTACGTCACCCTACACCGCCATTTGCATATGCATACCAGCTTTAAAAACGTAAAGAATCTCCAGTACTAAGCCGACTGATGACGAAACCTTAACCGTGGACATGGGAGGCTAACCTCCTTCCCCAAGGCCCCCAATACCTCAGCCGACTATGGCGAAACCTAACTGAGAATGACGGAGGCGAACCTCCTCCCCCCACAGAGCAACTTCACGTACAGTACCCGAAACACAAAAGAGGGTAATAAAAAACCTTTGTACTGTAGCTTGGTCAAGATTCATGCGTGCACAGCAACGAGATTACATCGACACTCGAGGTTGGTCAACAGCCACAGAGGAACGCAATCCAATCGGTCTACAACGAATCGCACAGCTGCATGAGGCGGTGCTGCTGCTATAAAGCAGCAATTTCCACACCAGCCAGTCGCGTTTAATCTAGCTTTGCCCGACCGAGTTCTGGTGCGGAAAAACTCACCGACCCGCCAAACGAAAAAATCAATACATTTCATAATTTAGACGAAAAGTTTACAGAACACAAAAAAATCATACCATGAAGACGGAACGGAAGAGGGAAGGCCTTCAGAACATAAATCGCCAACCCACATATCCACCACGTAGGATGAAACGACTGTAACCCGCGCCACTGCCCACCAGCCAGCTTGCACGCTAGCGAGGCTTTGCCTTCTATAATACAGCCGTGAAAACAGGAAGCTACACATTGCACGCGCAATTCCTGCTCTTTCAAACCCTTTCCCTCATACACAGCAAGGACAGAGCGGTATGACAACCAACCGATCGACTCGTATGGATCACGCGCAAACCCGTGGCCCTGCCTATTGTTTGCCGCACCCATACGCCGACTACAAGCACGCAAGCATCGTGTCGAGCCTTCCAGGCGCCAAGAATCACCTCGGAGAACCGCCCCTCCCCCCTCTCCGATTTACACTACCATCCAGCGTCCCCCCAGAAAAGAAAAACGACGACGACTTGCACAGGGCCCCTGTTGATAGCCGTGAGTGGGCTACGTGACCCGTATCCCACATGCGCCCACCACACGCCACTTAGAGAGGAGCCCCCACATGCTGAAAGCCCATCACTGAATCGAACACCACCGCCACCAAGATCAGAATTAAACTGACTCACCGCGTTCTAACCGGCGTTCATCAAGTGGGGCTTTTGCCTACGCACTGCACCTCGAATTTTGCCGCACATGCGCACACGAGGTACATCGGTGTCAGCCTGCAACCCCGCACGCACGGTACACAAACACCAGGTGGTGCCTGAGGAGCACAACAGGAGCTTTCTCCTGGACAAGGAGCTCGAGAACTGGACATCCACCCTCGTGGACATCGCAACTACAGCAACGAAAAAAAATAAAAAAATAAATAAAGGAAAAAAAAAACGCAAGCGTGATCTGGAAAACCCGGAGCGAACCGCCCCGTTCTGGGCGCCCGAAATCCGGGACCCCCTTTGCGTAGGTTACCCTAGGGACTCCTTTACTCTCAAGAGTCCATGGCTCGCGCAAACGGATACCCGGAATATTCTCTACTACGCGCGCCAAGCGGTGCCTTGTGTCCTTACATGGGATGAAAGGCCCATCGGGTGGGCCTCGACTTTGATCGCCACTCAGCTATAGGAAAGGGTCAGGCGGGTGTCCTCTTACGCCCGTCGCGTCGTCGCCACGCCGCGCGTTTTCTTTCTTTCTCGGCAAACAGTCGACAACAATATGATGTAATGTTAACAATAGTCAAACGAAAAACACAGAACCGCCCTGCCGCCACTGAAGGCATGCACGCCTGGGGCTAGGATCGATCGTGCAAGGGCGGACCCACAGCCAGCCAGCGGTGCCTCAACACCCACAAACACGCGCTCAGCAGGCACGCCAATTCAGCGCAAGTCGGTCATTCCGAACAATGAGCAACACCGCGCCCAACTCTCTACACATGATGGGCGACGGCTTGGCATTCCAATCACACTTCACACGCCGCCAAAACCCGATTCGTTGGCCTGCACCGAATTTTTTGTCGCGGCGGTGGCGGCCTACGGCCCCCTGCCCCCGCCGTCCCGGCCTCCGAACCACCTCCTCCAAAGCCTTGCCGCGACTGATTGTCATGCGTTCATGGCTGGTGCCGCCGCCTGGGGTTGCTGTGCGTACCCCAAGGGAGCGAACCAGGGGTCCTCCAGGACCTCCACGGGCAACGGCCTGTTCTCCGGCTGGTAGGACATCATCCTCCGCAGTAATTGAAACACCTGGCGGGAGCGACCGCGTCACAACAAGCAAGTAAGTAGGCCGGTAGTAGAATGAACTCGTTTTGGCAGAGGGAGTATCCAAAGCACGAAAGCGATGGCCATGTGCGGTGCGGTGCTACACGTGCAGAATGGCGCTCCTTCCCCCAGGAACTTGTACACCCTGCAAGCAGCTTAGCACGGACAGGGACTGTTCCGGGGAACCGACAGTTTCAATCATCACGACAGGTTACAGCCGCCACCATCAATCGATTTTCCAAGCAAGTCTTCTTGCCCACAGCAGAATATTATTATCTTCTTCGATATGGGTGGCGTTTGACACGGAAAACGAAAAAAACAAAACACTTAAACATGCTCGTGTGGACGTGTCCATACACTTCATTTATTTCTTCTTTCATTCAACTATTTTTTCCGTTTTCGGGGAGATACACATCGTACAGCCATGCATTTTTCAGTACATAATTGGCACCCCCTGTTATCCAGTACAGTAAATAGAGAAGTAACCTATGGCTAGTGTTACGATTTCGCACATCCACATAATATTACCCATGGTTGTTTGCAAAGTTTTTGCTACCTCTTACCGGGTCTGGTAGGAGGGGCATCTCATAATCTGCAAGGTAGCCCTGCAGGTCCCCCTGAAACACCACTTTCCGAAACTTTCTGTCCAGTCGCGAGGCGTAGTCGAAGGGAGGGATGCCCGTGAACAACATGAACCCCATGCAGCCGACGGAGAACATATCCACCTTGACCCCGTCGTAGGGCTGGTCATGTTCGTTCGTGGATCGCAAGGTAGATAACGGTTTTTACCGTAGTGCCGTGATGGCGGAGGGGGCGGCACGGGGTGGAAAAGGCAGCAAACGAACAGCAGCGTCGATAGGAATCAACGGTAGGATCCAGAGGGACGAAAAAACTAATCTGGCAGGCAGAGTTACCGGAAGGCAAAATAAAACAGACCCCGCCTTCCTCGAATTTGCCTGCGCCCGCCCCCCAACAAATGAAGAACGGGTTGCCGCACACTTCACTTGTTGGGGTCTGTTTTCTAAAGCGAAGGAGCCAACGCGGAAGAGGGATCGGAGGGGTACTCGTGCGTCGCATGCCTCAGCTGTTAGGCCATTGACCACGCGTCCTCGGGAGAGGACGGAGCATTGTTCCCACAGGACCGATCACCGATGGCCTTCCTACTTTGCCAAAGGTGGCCCAAACGCGCTTACCGTATCCTACCTATCCCATCGATGTTACTCCCCCCGCCTCTTCAACCCCCACCCTATGCCCCAGTACAGCAACCATATTCTCGCCGTTGTTCCATGGGCGAGGGGGTGGGGGGAGAAGGGCAGCAAGACAAGTTTCTCACCTGTCGGCCTTTGTAGGTCTCGGGCGGGCAGTAGGATCTCTTGGCCCTTCGGCGATCCGGCACGGACATGAACCTATCGAATGTTTGGGCGCACCAACGATGGGAAGGCTCCTTACACACACGCATTGGTCGGTCGGGCATTCCTCCGGTGATCGTTTTTGTAACACAGCAGTCCATGGAAAATGGAAAACACTCATGCACAGATGCACAGGCACAGAGAGAACGGTTGTGGTGCAGCAACCTTGGGAAAAAAGAAAAAAAACTGGCCAGGTCGTGAACGGAATACTCCGAACAAAACAAAACAAAACAAAAGGTGTACGCATGAATACCCACACTTAATTTATTCATCATAGAAAATTCGCATGAGAGTACAGATCGGGCCAACCAATAAGAGACGTCCAAGAAACGTCAAATTCAAGGCGGGGCTCAATTTCTTAGACAATGTATACAATACATACAGTCAAAGAAGACCACTTCGAGATAAAATCACAACAATTTCTTTTACGCTTCCATCGTTGTCGACATATGAGCACCAGTATCGGTAAGAGTTTGAACATATGGGTGCCGATAGTGGTAACAGTTTAGTGTAGGACCCACCGCTGGGCCGTGCTTCTCAAGCTTATGGTCCTAATCGTGAAAAAAAGAATGAGCCTCTACAGTATATTTGTAACGACTCTTTTTTTTTTCTGAAATTGCGGGGGGGGGGGGGGGGGGGGACGACC